ATCATGCACAAAGGATGACTCAAAGCTTTGATATATATTTTGTTCCAATGTGAGATATGGAAATGTGAACAACAGTGGTGCAAAAGTCTTGGGGTTTAGACTTTCAGTGTGATTGGACTTGATATTGTTTAACAGCTGGTCTTTGTATTGTGTTTGGCAGGAAATTAAGAAGTACAGTTAACAAGTAAATAAGTTACAATCCATTTTCATTCCTTTGTTACTTCTACTGATCATATTTTATGGATTATTATTATAATGTTACATATATCAAGCGCCTTATCAATGTCCTTGTATAACACATCTGTACTTTACTGTTCTTCTAAAGCTTCCGTGACTTTTCATAGTGGTTGAGTAATTACAGAAGACACAATCTTCCTGTTCTAAAAGCCAAAGCCACCCCTATTATATTTCCTCTATTGAACACCATAACAAACTAGCAAACACAATACCTTTGTTCTCTCTCTTAGTGTTCGTGGTGAGATTGACTGGTCCTATTGTCTTTTCCATGTCCAGTTGAGCAAATGCTTTCTAACCTCATCTTTGGTAGTATCATATTCCTCGACTGCTGCTTGACTTAATGCAACCCTTCTATTTCACGTACTTTTCCTTGCTCGAGTTTGAAGATCGACTAGATCTTTTTGTTGAAGATCTTCTGGATCTTGTTGTTGAAGATCTTCTGGAATGTCTTGTTAAATCTTCACACACACCTCCTTGTCATTCTCAGGAAGCTTCTCCTCCCCTTTTCTCCGTTTCGTCACCTATTCCTTCATTGTTTTTTCCCTGTTGTTAAGCAGCTTAGGTTGTGTCTTTGCTTTTTTTTTGCTATGTCATTTTCTTACTGTTTATCCATTTTTCTTTTAAGATTTAAGTACTCATTTCTGACTTTCTGGTACCTTTTTCTGCTTTCTGGAGTTTTTCAGTAGTATCTCCATGATCTTCGACTAATTAGCTTAGATACCTTATATCTCTTATTAAACTATGGGCTCCTCCTCAATTCATTCTTTTCTTTGTGCACTGGAACAAACTTGTCTTTTGCTTCCTAGTTCTTCCATGTTATGTATTAGGAAATGTTTTGTAAGTTTTGATCTCTTCTACGCTTCACCTGGACTCTAGGAGACTCGAACTGCGGATCCCACACATGTGAGACCGAAGCTCCATCGACCGAGCTATTGAGTGGTCTTAATAAGGAAAGTTTCCAGAAGCCGCAGCATCCTGCTGCCAAGCTGGAATTATCAACTTTCCCTGAACTACTGCTGAAGCTCAGAGGAATTACTGACCCGCGACAACCTCTGTAAACTGCCTAAGTTTATGTTGCTTTCCACGTAAGTGTGGATGATAATTCTCTGTTTTCTCAGTTCTCTTTCTTATTGGTATTGCTATTAGTAATATTTTCATTTCGTCATAATTTTCATTTGGTATACCAGTTTATGCTTTCTGATCCCTTCTTTTGACTGCTATTCCTACTTACATGAGACACTCACACATGTATTCATACACTCACACATCTATACAATATGGTTGCTCTTTTCACCATGGAGGCTTCCAATATGAGTCCCTATATGTCTGACTCATTCAGTGTATCAGGTGAAGTCTGCTTGACTCTTCATTACCTGTCATTCACGTGGGTCTCCTGCATGAGTCCCCGCGGAGAGTTTTGTTATCCCAGTCTATCACTCCATTGTTGAAGTCTCCCATGATTAGCAGTCGGGAACTATTTCTTCAGGCGACAGAGGCTGCTTTCTATTTTACAAATAATTACCATTCTTTGGTGGTGGTCTTTCTTGTGTTTGTATCTTCTGTCATTTAGTGAAGAGTTACATATGTCTGCTACAGTGGATGGGGATATTTGATGGGGGGGAATATTTCACAGCGAAGAGGAGGATAAAGTGGGCAGCTCAGAAGGGTATTTGAGTTCATGAGTTGTGGAGGGGGTGGGGGCTATCTTGAGTTACATGGTGGGGGGCAGGGCGGGTATGGGATCGGTAGGGGGAAGGGGGATCTATGGAATGGGAGGAAGACTGCAAGAAGGGTGAGTTGGAGAGTGGCTACCGTTTCTGGTGCACTTATGTCTGGGTAGTTACTGGTCTGCTGGTGGAGGGGTGCCCCATCCCCCCCCCCTCTGCTGGTGGAGGGGTCCACCATCCCCCCTCTGCTGGTGGAGGGGTCCCCCATCCCCCCCCCCCCCTCTGCTGGTGGAGGAGTCCCCCATCCCCCCTCTGCTGGTGGAGGGGTGCCCCATCCCCCCCTCTGCTGGTGGAGGGTCCACCATCCCCCCTCTGCTGGTGGAGGGGTGCCCCATCCCCCCTCTGCTGGTGGAGGGGTCCCCCATCCCCCCTCTGCTGGTGGAGGAGTCCCCCATCCTCCCTCTGCTGGTGGAGGAGTCCCCCATCCCTCCACTGCTGGCGGATGGGTCCCCCATCCCCCAGCTGGCTAGTTCAGTTTTCCGCTTCCAGTGAAGTGCTTTCATAGCATATTCCTGCAACGCTTGCCTAGGGTTTGGGCCGCTGTGAAGAATCTCTGCAGATGAGGGATGACTTGGCACGAAGGGCTCCAAAACAATTTAATATCCGGTATTCTGAGGGTATATTGTCTCATGCTGGTCTGAGTGGAGGTTATTGGGCTTTATGTCTCCTCTTGACAGTTCCAGGTAACTCTGAGGGTTTCCATTATTTTGGTAAATTTCAACAATAAACGTAAAGAGAGAGACAGATACAGAGAGAGACAGAGAGACAGAGAGAAAGAGAGAAAGAGAGAGACAGAGACAGAGAGACGGAGAAAAAGAGAGAGAGAGAGAGAGCAAGGCGTGTAGGAAGCAGAAGAAGGAGTTGAATAGATGTCGTACATTATTAATAAGGAATCAACTATTGTCAGAAACAAGATGGCGGGGGTGGGGGGGAGCGCCGATTCCCCCAGTAATTTTGCACAAGCCGTCTCCCCCAGCGGCCCACACCCGGTGTGGGGGGCGGCGGCCCCCGCCCACCGCTGCTCCACCGCTATATTGCAACCATAAAATAACCCCGATATACTCTCCACCTGCAGCCACTTCCGCGGCCGACACTGCCACAGTTTACCACCACCTTGCACTACCACAGTTTACCTTCACCTTGCACTACCACAGTTTACATTCACCTTGCACTACCACAGTTTACCATCACTTTGTGCTACCACAGTTTACCACCACCTTGCACTACCACAGTTTACCATCACTTTGTGCTACCACAGTTTACCAATCACCTTGCACTACCACAGTTTACCTTCACCTTGCACTACCACAGTTTACCTTCACCTTGCACTACCACAGTTTACCTTCACCTTGCACTACCATAGTTTACCACCACCTTGCACTACCACAGTTTACCTTCACCTTGGACTACCACAGTTTACCTTCACCTTGCACTACCACAGTTTACCTTCACCTTGCACTACCACAGTTTACCATCGCTTTGTGCTACCACAGTTTACCACCACCTTGCACTACCACAGTTTACCATCACTTTGTGCTACCACAGTTTACCAATCACCTTGCACTACCACAGTTTACCTTCACCTTGCACTACCACAGTTTACCTTCACCTTGCACTACCACAGTTTACCTTCACCTTGCACTACCATAGTTTACCACCATCTTGCACTACCACAGTTTACCTTCACCTTGCACTACCACAGTTTACCTTCACCTTGCACTACCACAGTTTACCTTCACCTTGCACTACCATAGTTTACCATCACCTTGCACTACCACAGTTTACCACCACCTTGCACTACCACAGTTTACCATCACTTTGTGCTACCACAGTTTACCAATCACCTTGCACTACCACAGTTTACCTGTGTCATTCACCCAACTTCACCTCCCACACCTGTGTCATTCACTCAACTTCATCTCCCACACCTGTGTCATTCACTCAACTTCACCTCCCACACCTGTGTCATTCACTCAACTTCATCTCCCACACCTGTGTCATTCACTCAACTTCATCTCCCACACCTGTGTCATTCACCCAACTTCACCTCCCACACCTGTGTCATTCACTCAACTTCACTTCCCACACCTGTGTCATTCACTCAACTTCACCTTCCACACCTGTGTCATTCACTCAACTTCACCTCCCACACCTGTGTCATTCACTCAACTTCACCTCCCACACCTGTGTCATTCACTCAACTTCACCTCCCACACCTGTGTCATTCACTCAACTTCACCTCCCACACCTGTGTCATTCACTCAACTTCACCTTCCACACCTGTGTCATTCACTCAACTTCACCTTCCACACCTGTGTCATTCACTCAACTTCACCTCCCACACCTGTGTCATTCACTCAACTTCACCTCCCACACCTGTGTCATTCACTCAACTTCACCTCCCACACCTGTGTCATTCACCCATCATCATCATCCTCACCATTGCTTGATGAAGCATAATATTATGCAGACGAAGTTCAGTACGACTCCTTGATCACTTATATTTAACTCAATTATTGTAACCTAAAATGCATCATAAAAATACAAGATTTTTGTTAATTTTATACATGGTAGTTTATTTCCTTTAGATGTGTTGGATTATATGATAACGTTGTGACCCTTCCACAGGTGTGTGGCGGATATGACTAACTCTCTGCTCGGTCTGCAGGTGTGGGAGTAATTACATTTTACACCTTCCATTAAGTGTGGTGGTAATTACTCCTCTCTACATTCACCTGGGCTGTAGGAGACTCGAACCAGAGAAGTCTGGGTGACAATGTAAATGACGGGTCAGTAATTCCTCTGAGCTTCAGTAGTAGTTCAGGGGGAGGTTGATAATTATAATTTGGCAGCTGGATGCGGCTTCTGGAAACTTTCCTTATTAAGACAACTTAATAGCTAGGTCGAGAGAGCTTCGGCCTCTCATGGGTGGGGTCCACGGTTCAAGTCTCCTAGAGCCCATGTGAATGGAATGTTTATTTTCATGGAAGTATGGATGACGATTTATATGCCTCTCTCTCTCTCTCTCTCCCACAGGTGTCGTGGATCAGACAAGACAACCTACACATCCTGACGGTGGACAAGTACAAGTACAGCACGGACAAGCGAGTGTCAGTGGTGTTCAACGAGGCTAACCTGGAGTGGGTGTTACGCATCGGTGGCGTCACTCCGGCCGACGCCGGCCGCTACGAGTGCCAGGTCTCCACCAAGCCCGTCCTCAGCTTCGTCGTCAACCTCACGGTTGTGGGTGAGTGTCTGTGTCTCACCGTGGTGGGGCGACGTCTGATCTTGTGGTCTCCATGATCAAGGGCTCAACTTATGATGTATAAGGGGCAGGGTTGACTGGCTGGGGGTTGACTGGCTGGGGGTTGACTGGGAGGGGGTTGACTGGGTGGGGGTTGACTTGGTGGGGGCTGACTATGTATGGGTTGACACTGGGAGGGGGTTGACTGGTAGATGGTTGAGGGTGAAGGGGGTTGATGGGGGAGGGGGGTTTGATTAGGAGGGGGTTGTCTGAGTTGGGGGCTGACTGGGTGGGGTTGGACATTGGGAGGGGGGTTGACTGACAGAGGGTTGATGGGGAGGGGGTTGACGGGGAGGGGATTGACGGGGAAGTGGTTGACTGGGAGGGGGTTGACTGGGAGGGGGTTGATACTGGGAGGGGTTTGACTGGAAAGGGGGAGTGGGAGAAAGGATTAGTGGTGAGAGAGAGTAGGCAGAAATCAAACAAAAAAATGAATTGATTTTGAGAAACGATTGGGCAATGTTTTTGCCGACTAGACCCCCGTGGGCGGAATCATGAAAAAATACTTTTTAAAATGTTAGGTTAGGGCACAAGTTGCTCAGTATTTATTTATTTATTTATTTATTTATTTATTTATTTATATAGAAGAAGGTATATTGGGATTGAGAGGATACATAGCAAAGTAATTACATTCTTGTAAAGCCACTTGTACGCGCAGCGTTTCGGGCAGGTCCTTAATCTAAGAAAATTTTAAGTAGGTATATATTGCAAAATTTATAAAAATGATAAAAGTTACATAGCAAGAAATAAAATACAGATAAGAGATAATTGTAGGCATATTAAAGCACATAGGACACCTAGGGGAGAATCCATGGCGACCCTGGCTTATACATGTGCCCATCCGGGCTCAAGAAAGGTGCCTCTTTAGTACAAGCTTGGAGTAGTTTCCTTGGAATGTTTTCTGGTATGTCAAGAGGAGTACACGCCGGATCACGATACACTCTGTCCGCTATCATCCGGATTGTTTCATCCACAGGTACATTGGTAAACAGTGATTCTACGTCCAATGAGGCTCTTATCCCTGTGGCCCGTGTTCCCCGCAGTAAGTCAACAAATTCCTTTGGAGACTTCAGGCTGAAGGTGCAAGGGACATAAGGAGTCAGCAGGCCGTTGAGTTGCTTCGCCAGTCTGTACGTGGGTGTGGGTATCTGGCTAATGATTGGCCGAAGTGGGTTTCCAGGCTTATGTGTCTTGACATTTCCATACGTGTATCCAGGCTTATATTCCCCAATAATCTTTGGCAGGTGGAGTCCGGATTTCTTGGCGTTCACAGTTTCGATCAATTTGTTGACCTTTGCCTTCAATTCGGCTGTAGTGTCCTTCGTTACCCTTTGGAATTTAGTTTGGTCAGAGAGAATGAGGTTCATTTTCGCCAGATATTCGTCTTTTTTAAGAATGACGTATATTGGCGACTTGTCACCTCTTCTGACGACTATCTCCTTGTTCTCACGAAGGCTCTTAGCTGCCACTCTGAACTCGGGGGACAGTATGGTGCTTCTGTAATTGCCTCGATTCTTTCCTCCTTCCGCAATAAGTTCTGCTTGTAAGGTGTCTTTGGTGGTGACCTTCTTTTGTGTCTCGAGGTCGAATATGTCGTCCAACAGGATCTCCAACTACACTTTCCGGGCCATCTCACTTGGTCTGGACATAACGTGACAGTTTATACCCAGATTTAGGAGAGTGACTTGGTCCTCAGTGAGGTTGATTCCTGCAAGGTTCAGGAAGCCGTCTCTTGTTCGTGGAATTGCCATAGGTCCTCCATATAACGTTGTTAGTTTCTTGATTATCTTGGTTTCGGTGCTGAGGTGATGTCGATCTGTGAGGATGTTGAGGTGTTGCTCGAAGTGAGTACGGAGACTTTCGTCGATGTTGCTGTTTCTCCATTGGTTTGTAGCATGAAGTAGTTGCGTTTTGTTGTCTTTGATTTCATTTTCTGCCTTATGTATCTGATTACGAATCAGATCTTGGCGATATTTTATCGTGAAGGTTTGATTCCTTGCTGCTGGGTCGTGTTTTAATATTAGTATATTTTGGTAGCAGTCTTTCTTGTAGACATATATTATTAAATATTACCGAAAAAGTCAAATTAATAATTCTAACACGAATTTTCTCAATGTTTCTAATATTCTTTTTCACTGTTGATGGTAACTGAAAAATCAATTCTCCAAAATTCATTTTTATTTCTAGTCTGACGCGACACTTGAACGCGTTTCGTAAAACTTATTACATTTTCAAAGATTTTAGTTTACACACACACAACTATAACTGAACAGAGTTTAAAACAGCTTCGATTTTTTATACCTGCATTTGGGTGAGGTGAAATGTTACAACAGTTTTGGATGAGGTGAAAACAAACTTTCAGTCAGTGGAACGCGAAAGTGTTATCACTTTTGCGTTCCACTGACTGACTATCGTGTCACTCATTCTTCTACTGAATAGGTTCCAACGACGCAGCACTGAGTCACTCATTAAAATATTTGTTAAAAATTAAAATTTTATCAGGTCAATCTGGTAGTGGTTTTAAAATAAGCGCCTTTAGATTGCACACAATTTGATACCAAAATGAAAGATATAACATGAAACTTGATGTCCGAACACTTGAAAGATTATAAATAGGCTTTTGGTCAGAATATTAAAATATTTGTTAAAATTCTATTTATTGTCCTAGTATCTTGGGACTAGTTTTAAAATGCGCACCTTTTTATTGCGAACAATTTGATACCAAAATGAAAGATGTAACACAAAAATTTATGTCAGAACACTGGAAAGATATAAATAATTTTGTGATGATGAGCGTCCAGAATTAAAATATTTGTTAAAATTCCAGTTATTGCTCTATTATTCTGGGGCTAGTTTTAAAATACGCGCCTTTTTATTGCGAACAATTCGATACCAAAATGAAAGATGTAACACGAAATTTGATGTTATCAAATTGAACGAGTATACACATTAGGTTGCAGTGTACAAATTGGCGCTCGTTCACGAGTAACTGTAGGCTTTTCTGCGGGGAGGCACTCCAGGCTTTGGTACATTATATTCATACACATCTGTAGGGAATTTAATTGCGAACACAATGATACCAAAACGAGCGACGTAGCACGAGAATTAAGGTGAAAAAATGGAACAAGTATGCACATGTTACTGATTTTGTGCGCTTTTGCCGACTTTAGGCTTTACTGTTGGGGTCACGCTAGGCTTTTGGACGTTATATTTATAACCACCTGTAGGGAATTTAATTGCGAACACAATGATACCAAAACGAGCGACGTAGTACGAGAATTAAGGTGAGAAAGCTGGAACGAGTATACACATTTGGGTGTCACCGCGCGCTTACCCGCACGCCGAGGCACATGACCCCTATGTCAACAGTGGACTTGCCCGGAACGCGAAAGTGTATTATTAATGTGTAGTGCCTCGCAGATATCTAGCCGCCTGCTATCGCTGTATCTATCAATGATTTCCGTGTTTTTTATTAAGACTTCTCTGGTGATGGTCTGGTTGTGGGAAGAGATTATATGTTCCTTAATGGAGCCCTGTTGCTTATGCATCGTTAATCGCCTGGAAAGAGATGTTGTTGTTTTGCCTATATACTGCATTCTTTGAGGCTTACAGTCCCCAAGAGGGCATTTGAAGGCATAGACGACATTGGTCTCTTTTAAAGCGTTCTGCTTTGTGTCTGGAGAGTTTCTCATGAGTAGGTTGGCAGGTTGGTAAGTTGTTCTGTCTTGTGTTGAAAGTTTGTTTTCACCTCATCCAAAACTGTTGTAACATATCACCTCACCCAAATGCAGGTATAAAAAATCGAAGCTGTTTTAAACTCTGTTCAGTTATAGTTGTGTGTGTGTAAACTAAAGTCTTTGAAAATGTAATAAGTTTTACGAAACACGCTCAAGTGTTGCGTCAGACTAGAAATAAAAATGAATTTTGGAGAATTGATTTTTGAATTACCATCAACAGTGAAAAAGAATATTAGAAACATTGAGAAAATTCGTGTTAGAATTATTAATCTTACTTTTTCGGTCATATATATATATATATATATATATATATATATATATATATATATATATATATATATATATATATATATATATATATACAGTGGAACCTCTATTAACGAGTTTAATCCGTTCTGACACCGAGCTCATTACCTGGAAAACTCGTCTTAAGAAACAAATTTCCCCATTTAAAATAAAGGAAATAAATTTAATCCGTTCCACTCCCAAAAACATCCATACTTGTATGACTTTTTTTTATGTAAATATAATACTGCACATGTAAATACAAATATTTTGTTGTAGTGCTTTAATATTTACTTTACCTTATGAAGAGTAGTTACTGGCTGGAGGGAGACGATGGGGAGGTGGGAAGGAGGAGAGGGGTTATGGTGTGGAAGGAGAATCCACCTCTGAGTCAGGCGGACTCTCTCTTCTTGGGAATTTCACCCAAATTTCATTTCAAATGTCACACAAGGATGTGTTAGACCAGCACCAAATAAAAAACTACGTCGATTACACTCGTGTCAACAATATAATAGTCTTACCACGAAGCTACAATACAATGCCGTTTTCTCAAATAGGCAATGTGGTTATTAAAGAAAACGGAAATTTCATGGCAAACATGTATACAATCCCCAAGACGATTGGATAAGAATTGGATTTTATAGAAATATTTGCTCAAATGACGCTTGAGCGCGGTGTTTGGGTGCATTCAAGAGAAAAAAGTGTGTCACGTTCAAACGACATATACCTGCGAAAGTGATAACACTTTCATAAAGTGTTATCACAAAGTGATAAATTAATTAACCATTTTCACACACCGGGTTGTCACTGCTTTATCAGGGCAGCTTTTCCAAGAATGCGTTCACCTTTTCAAACATTCCAAACACTTCCCTGAATTCAGTGGAAGAGGTAGCATCCTCCCTTACCTCCTTATTCCCTTACTAATGGTGTAAATTGTTGATGAGACCTGCCATACTCCCTTGTGAGATCAGTCACACAGACACCACACTCATGCTTTGCTATAATTTCCTTCTTCAAATTCACAGTAATTGTGTGTTTCTTCCTCTTGACAACACTATCTTTAGCAAGCAGCTTCTTTGGAGACATCATGTGTTACAAATTGTAGTCGCAAAACCACTAAAAACCCAAAGAAAAGCTCAAATAAATCCAGAGGGATGCTTGTCGTGTGCGATACAACAACAACACTGGCGTCGGAGGCGTCCGAGAATTTGCGAGAACCCGCGAGATGCTAGGAAACGCCATGTGGTTTTGCTCGTTAATAGAGGCGAGCTTGTCAATAGAGACAAATTTGCTGCGAGTGGCTTGCTCGTTACTGGAAAAACTCGTTAATAGAGCCACTCGTTAATCGAGGTTCCACTGTATATATATATATTAGTATATTTTGGTAGCAGTCTTTCCTGTAGACATATATTATTAAATATGACCGAAAAAGTAAGATTAATAATTCTAACACGAATTTTCTCAATCTTTCGTACATTTCTTTTCACTGTTGGTGGTAATTCAAAAATCAATTCTCCAAAATTCATTTTTATTTCTAGTCTGACGCGACACTTGAGCGCGTTTCGTAAAACTTATTACATTTTCAAAGACTTTAGTTACACATACACAACTGAATAGAACTTACACATCTCCAATTTGTTTATATCTACAGTTGAGTGAGGTGGTATTTAATAGGGTATTAAATTCATCAACACAAGACAGAACACGAAACAATGGGTATTGAATAGAAGTGATTGTAGAAAGCCTATTGGTCCATATTTCTTGATGCTTCTATATTGGAGTGGAGTCTTGAGGTGGGTAGAATATAGTTGTGCATTAATTGGCTGTTGATTGCTGGTGTTGACTTTTTGATGTGTAGTGCCTCGCAAACGTCAAGCCGTCTGCTATCGCTGTATCTATCGATGATTTCTGTGTTGTTTACTAGGATTTCTCTGGCGATGGTTTGGTTGTGGGAAGAAATTATATGTTCCTTAATGGAGCCCTGTTGCTTATGCATCGTTAAACGCCTAGAAAGAGATGTTGTTGTCTTGCCTATATACTGGGTTTTTTTTTTTTTTTGAGCTTACAATCCCCAAGAGGGCATTTGAAGGCATAGACGACGTTGATCTCTTTTAAAGCGTTCTGCTTTGTGTCTGGAGAGTTTCTCATGAGTAGGCTGGCCGTTTTTCTGGTTTTATAGTAAATCGTCAGTTGTATCCTCTGATTTTTGTCTGTAGGGATAACGTTTCTATTAACAATATCTTTCAGGACCCTTTCCTCCGTTTTATGAGCTGTGGAAAAGAAGTTCCTGTAAAATAGTCTAATAGGGGGTATAGGTGTTGTGCTAGTTGTCTCTTCAGAGGTTGCATGGCGTTTCACTTTCCTTCTTATGATGTCTTCGACGAAACCATTGGAGAAGCCGTTGTTGACTAGGACCTGCCTTACCCTACAGAGTTCTTCGTCGACTTGCTTCCATTCTGAGCTGTGGCTGAGAGCACGGTCGACATATGCGTTAACAACACTACTCTTGTACCTGTCTGGGCAGTCGCTGTGGCATTTAGGCACATTCCTATGTTCGTTTCCTTAGTGTAGACTGCAGTGTGGAAACCTCCGCTCTTTTCCATGACTGTTACATCTAGAAAGGGCAGCTTCCCATCCTTTTCCATCTCGTAAGTGAAACGCAGCACGGAACTCTGCTCAAACGCCTCCTTCAGCTCCTGCAGATGTCTGACTTCAGGTACCTGTGTAAAAATGTCGTCAACATACCTGCAGTATATGGCCGGGGATTATTGGGGAATATAAACCTGGATATGCGTATGGAAATGTCAAGACACACAAGCCTGGAAACCCACTTCGGCCAATCATTAGCCAGATACCCACACCCACGTACAGACTGGCGAAGCGACTCAACGGCCTGCTGACTCCTTATGTCCCTTGCGCCTTCAGCCTGAAGTCTCCAAAAGAATTTGTTGACTTACTGCGGGGCACACGGGCCACAGGGATAAGAGCCTCGTTGGACGTAGAATCACTGTTCACCAACGTACCTGTGGACGAGACAATCGGGATGATAGCCGACAGAGTGTATCGTGATCCAGCCTGTACTCCTCTTGACATACCAGAGAATATTCTAAGGAAACTACTCCAAGCTTGTACTAAAGAGGCACCCTTCTTGAGCCCGGATGGGCACATGTATAAGCAAGTAGATGGGGTCGCCATGGGTTCTCCCCTAGGTGTCCTGTTTGCAAACTTCTACATGGGTACCATCGAGCAAAAAGTCTTAGTCGACATGAACTTGAAACCGGCCATATACCGCAGGTATGTTGACGACATTTTTACACAGGTAAAAACTGCAGGCATGTCGTCAACATGCCTGCAGTATATGACGGGTTTCACTCACCACCACTCACACTCAAGAGTGAGTGGCTGCCTCAGCCACTCACTCTTCCTGCCCCTATCCTCCACCTTCCTTATCGCCTCTTTACACGCTATGTCACCCAAAATATCAATATCATTGCTCATCATTTCAGAAATTATGGCTTTTGTAAAATTTTTATAAGTGGATCATGGTGAACACGGGTTAGGCCTATTGTTGTGCCGTGATCAGGTTGATGAGGTGCATACATATAATTTGCCGTGCTTGGGATGATGCTAGGACCAGTCTAAGCTAAATAAGAAATTAGATAATTTGACAGTTTTGTATTGGACAAAATACCAAAACATATACCAGTGATTCCCTCCAGCCGTTGTCCAGCCTCTTGTCAACCATGAAGGCTGGAAGCGACTTGTACTGCCACCTTGTACAGCCTCACGTCTCTTCCTGCCTTGTTACTTGCAGAAGCTCTGCCCACGACGACGCCCACGCCCACGGCCCGCCACACTCTGAGTGACCAGGGTAACTCTTCTGCCACACTCCACCAGGAACCCCCCACCGGTACACCCGCAGCTCTTGACCCCCTTCAATATGTGCCGCTTGGCTGACTTGTAATACGTGTCGCTCGGCACACTGTTAACACCTGTTGTTTGACAGTCTCTGTTAACACCTGTTGTTTGACAGTCTCTGTTAACACATGTTGTTTGACAGCCTCTGTTAACACCTGTTGTTTGACAGCCTCTGTTAACACATGTTGTTTGACAGTCTCTGTTAACACATGTTGTTTGACAGTTTCTATTAACACGTGTTGTTTGACAGTTTCTATTAACACTTGTTGTTTGACAGTCTCTGTTAACACATGTTGTTTGACAGCCTCTATTAACACGTGTTGTTTGACAGTTTCTATTAACACGTGCTGTTTGACAGTCTCTTTTAACACATGTTGTTTGACAGTTTCTATTAACACGTGCTGTTTCACAGTCTCTTTTAACATCTGTTATTTGACAGTTTCTATTAACACCTGTTGTTTGACAGTCTCTATTAACACGTGTTGTTTGACAGTCTCTTTTAACACGTGCTGTTTGACAGTCTCTATTAACACGTGTTGTTTGACAGTTTCTATTAACACGTGCTGTTTGACAGTCTCTTTTAACACATGTTGTTTGACAGTTTCTATTAACACGTGTTGTTTGACAGTCTCTATTAACACGTGTTGTTTGACAGTTTCTATTAACACGTGCTGTTTGACAGTCTCTTTTAACACATGTTGTTTGACAGTTTCTATTAACACGTGTTGTTTGACAGTCTTTATTAACACCTGTTGTTTGACACCCTCTATTGACACGTGTTTTTGACAACCTCTATTAACACGTGTTTTTTACACCCTCTATTAACACGTGTTGTTTGACACCTTCTATTAACATGTGTTGTTTGACAGTCTCTATTAACACATGTTTTTGACACCCTCTATTGACACGTGTTGTTTGACAGCCTTTATTGACACGTGTTTTTTGACACCCTCTATTGACACGTGTTGTTTGACACCTATTAACATGTGTTGTTTGACAGTCTCTATTAACACATGTTTTTGACACCCTCTATTGACACGTGTTGTTTGTCAGCCTTTATTAACATGTAAAGTTTGACAGTATCACTTGCCACCTTTTGTTTGGCAGCCATTCTTAATATGTGTTAATTGACAGTCTGAGTTAATCTCCAGCAGTCAAGCTTGTGCCAGTACTGAGTACCTGTCACTGATTACCTGAGCCACAGTACCTGTCACTGATTACCTGAGACACAGTACCTGGCACTCATTACCTGAGACACAGTACCTGGCACTCATTACCTGGGCCACAGTACCTGGCACTCATTACCTGAGACACAGTACCTGGCACTCATTACCTGAGCCACAGTACCTGGCACTCATTACCTGAGCCACAGTACCTGGCACTCATTACCTGAGCCACAGTACCTGGCTCTCATTACCTGAGCCACAGTACCTGTCACTGATTACCTGAGCCACAGTACCTGGCACTCATTACCTGAGCCACAGTACCTGGCACTCATTACCTGAGCCACAGTACCTGGCTCTCATTACCTGAGCGACAGTACCTGCCACTGATTCAACACGGCACCGCATCCGGCAAGGCTGAATACTCTACAATATATTGTTTTTGCCATTACTTTATATTTATGTAGGGTGCCTTGTCGCTATGCCTCATGAAAACCAAATAACTCTCGTGAGTTATTTCTACAAGGTTAGACTGGGATTAATTCGTTTTATGGATATATTATTTAATCTCGAGAGTTGAGTTGCTGACGTAATCGCAGACATTGATACTAGGAAGTATTTGGCAATACTATGCCACCATCTGGTGGCGTAGTACTGCCAAATGGTGGCCACCATCAGATGGTGGCACTACTTTCAACACCAGGTGGTGTTAGCAGTAGTGCCCTCATCTGATGTTGGCATTAGCGAACCCATCAAATGTTGGCATTAGCGCCACCATCTGATGTTGGCACATCAGTTGAAACACATTATTAATGGAAACAAAATGTATTTGTATTTCGAATAATAAATTGTTATTGGTAAAGATTGGGAATATTAGTATAGTAAATGATTTAAGCATTTATTGTGAAGGTTGTTTAGTTCTAATGAGCGTTACTCTCTCCCTCTCCATGTCTCCTGTCATCTCTGCTGGCCGTGTTGACTTCTGCACGCCCTCTGCTGTCACCTGGACCCCGGTACACCCTCCTGGACCTGGTACACCCCACCTGGACCTGGTACACCCCACCTGGACCTGGTACACCCACCTGGACCCGGTACACCAACCTGGACCTGGTACACCCGCCTGGACCCGGTACACCCGCCTGGACCTGGTACACCCGCCTGGACCCCGGTACACCCGCCTGGACCCGGTACACCCGCCTGGACCCGGTACACCCTCCTGGTCCTGGTGCACCCCACCTGGACCTGGCACACCCGCCTGGACCCCGGTACACCAACCTGGACCTGGTACACCCCACCTGGACCCGGTACACCCGCCTGGATCCCGGTACACCCACCTGGATCCCGGTACACCCTCCTGGACCCTGTACACCCTCCTGGATCCCGGTACACCCACCTGGACCCGGTACACCCGCCTGGACCCGGTACACCCGCCTGGACCCGGTACACCCCACCTGGACCTGGCACACCCTCCTGGACCCGGTACACCCACCTGGACCCGGTACACCCTCCTGGACCCGGTACACCCGCCTGGACCTGGTACACCTCACCTGGACCCGGTACACCCACCTGGATCCGGTACACCCGCCTGGATCCGGTACACCCTCCTGGACCCGGTACACCCACCTGGACCTGGTACACCCCACCTGGACCCGGTACACCCGCCTGGACCCGGTACACCCGCCTGGACCCGGTACACCCACCTGGACCTGGTACACCCACCTGGACCCGGTACACCCCACCTGGACCCGGTACACCCACCTGGACCCGGTACACCCGCCTGGACCCGGTACACCAACCTGGACACGGCACACGGACCCAGTACCGAGGGCATGGGTGCTGAATGCACCCGAGATCTTCGTGCATCGTGGGTCGCCCATCAACCTCACCTGTGTGGTGGCCCACGGCACCGACCTCCCCGTCTTCATCTACTGGCTCCATCTGAACAAGGTGAGTCCCTCCCTGTTGGTGAGTCTCTGCTGGTGAGTCCCTCTCCTGCTGGTGAGTCCCTCTCCTGCTGGTGAGTCCCTCTCCTGCTGGTGAGTCCCTCTCCTGCTGGTGAGTCCCTCCCTGTTGGTGAGTCCCTGCTGGTGAGTCCCTCTCCTGCTGGTGAGTCCCTCTCCTGCTGGTGAGTCTCTGCTGGTGAGTCCCTCTCCTGCTGGTGAGTCCCTCTCCTGCTGGTGAGTCCCTCTCCTGCTGGTGAGTCTCTGCTGGTGAGTCCCTCTCCTGCTGGTGAGTCCCTCTCCTGCTGGTGAGTCCCTCTCCTGCTGGTGAGTCCCTCTCCTGCTGGTGAGTCCCTCTCCTGCTGGTGAGTCCCTCCCTGTTGGTGAGTCCCTGCTGGTGAGTCCCTCTCCTGCTGGTGAGTCCCTCTCCTGCTGGTGAGTCCATCCCCTGCTGGTGAGTCCCTCTCCTGCTGGTGAGTCCCTCTCCTGCTGGTGAGTCTCTGCTGGTGAGTCCCTCTCCTGTTGGTGAGTCCCTCTCCTGTTGGTGAGTCCCTCTCCTGCTGGTGAGTCTCTCTCCTGCTGGTGAGTCTCTCTCCTGCTGGTGAGTCTCTCTCCTGCTGGTGAGTCCCTCTCCTGCTGGTGAGTCTCTCTCCTGCTGGTGAGTCCCTCTCCTGCTGGTGAGTCTCTGCTGGTGAGTCCCTCTCCTGCTGGTGAGTCCCTCTCCTGCTGGTGAGTCCCTCTCCTGCTGGTGAGTCTCTCTCCTGCTGGTGAGTCCCTCTCCTGCTGGTGAGTCTCTGCTGGTGAGTCCCTCTCCTGTTGGTGAGTCCCTCTCCTGCTGGTGAGTCTCTCTCCTACTGGTGAGTCTCTCTCCTGCTGGTGAGTCCCTCTCCTGCTGGTGAGTCCCTCTTCTGCTGGTGAGTCCCTCTCCTGCTGGTGAGTCCCTCTCCTGCTGGTGAGTCCCTCTCCTGCTGGTGAGTCTCTCTCCTGCTGGTGAGTCTCTCTCCTGCTGGTGAATCCCTCTCCTGCTGGTGAGTCCCTCTCCTGCTGGTGAGTCCCTCTCCTGCTGGTGAGTCTCTCTCCTGCTGGTGAGTCCCTCCCTGTTGGTGAGTCCCTGTTGGTGAGTCCTTCTCCTGTTGGTGAGTCCCTCTCCTGCTGGTGAGTCTCTCTCCTGCTGGTGAGTCCCTCTCTCTGTATTACATGTTATGGCAGACTCTAATGGGTTCAATGAGGCACGCTACTATCACCAGGTAGCCTGAGTCACCACAAGTCCATTCCATCCAGCGGTTGACCCCACAGACATATTCTTCAAGAGTTAACATGCTGTTCATTCAAAACAGAACGTTTCTCAAATATAAATTAATAGTATATTATATTAGCATATTGTGCATATATAGGCATAGGTTAGGTTAGGTGTTTAGGTTCTGTTTTCTAATATTTGTATTTGTAGTTCGAGGGTGAAGCATTTACAGCGTTGTGCAGTGAGATCAGTGACCTTAGATATAACTTGAAACTTGTTCAGGTAACTGGTCACTGATATATAAACACTGAGGCCCGTGGAATTCATCTTGATTAAATAATAAATGTATCAGAATCAGTCGTCAGATTTATTGGGGTTTAATTTACTTAGTTGATTTAGAGGATTGATAAGCCCATCATCAAAGTCAAGTATGGTTCTGAGACTGTAGTGGGTTCAGTGACATTGGTCGCAGTGACTTGTAGCTGTTTAGGCCACTGTTCACTGATTTGCCACTGAAGCCTCATGAACTCATCTTCAGCTTTAAATGATGATATTAACATCAACCTCTGTTGCTATAGTCAGCTGTAATCTCCTTAGTATAATGTTACTGGAGAAATATAATCAGCTGACAAACTCAGATTTCTACTGGTATTGTTTATCTGCAGCCATAGGTCTCCTCAGGCTTAATACTGGGCCTGAGAGTAATTTACCTCCTGCAGAATTTAGCATGGTTATGCCCTGATATTTAGTAGGGCTACCGATGAATCGATGGTAGTAGTCTGTCCCTACAAAGAGACCGAAGTCGGTGAGGTGATCAGACTTAATATTATCTGCCAATTTTATTCCTCTATTTCTCAGGAATTTGGCTGTTGCTCTCAGACCTTGTACTTGTAGGTCTACTGGTATTTTGTCCACCACAATGGCTTGTACTCGACAGACGTACCTGCCTAAACGTACTGATGGTTGTACCACCTGGTAGACTTGAGGTCCTGCATCTGTTACAAACCCTGAGATATTGAATGACATCTGGGCTACAGGCCTTAATTGTAGTTCATCTCCCAACTTTTTAGTGACATATGTTCTCTGGGACCATTGGTCAAACAACCCACGGGTATGGACCTTGACCCTCTTATTCTGGATGGTAATTTGGGCAGTCGGCAAAGTTGCACTACTTTTGGATTCTGTGGATTGGACACTAATTTTCTCTCGCACCTTGCAAAACTGTACTGTGGTGGGAATGCTATCTTCCACCTTGGTTCTTGAATACGTTAATTTCGTATGTTTGCACAGTGCTGCATGGTGCCTACCTCTTCTACACCTGTTGCAGGTGTTGAATTGGGTATCACAATAGTCTATGTTGTGTGAATTGAGACACCTTGAACATCTCCCTAATTCCTGGAGTCGCTTAATACGAGTGTCTCTGTCTGGATAATTAGCACAACAGTATGTTGAATGTTTCTTTTTGCAGAACATACATGTCCCCCAGCCTACTGCACGTTTGGAAATTACCAGTTTGGGTGAACTAGTAACAGTAGGCTTGGAGGATTCTGCTGCATTGTCAGATTTTCTGCAACTTGATGTGAGTGTAATTGACTGATGTTTATTTGTGTTAGTTGTTTTACCCTTTAATTGACTATTATTTTCTATCTCTGAAGGCTTGTATGAGGCTTTAACTTCCTCATTTGCTCGTCGTTTGTTTATGATGGAATGCAAACCTTCAGTGATGTCCTGTACTGTCAGGATGGTGTTATGTTGATGTGCGTATAATTCATCGAGTATATCGCTGGACAATTTTCGTTGAAGGACTACTTTGGTCATCCATTCACTAATAGTTATATCAACCTTAAGACTGAATGTTCTTAGTAGTGACTCAAACTCCATGCTGAAGGATTGTAATGAGTCAGCAGTCTGATCAGGTTGAGGTAAGTCCAGCAATTGTAGTACTAGATGTATGACAGTTTTCTCATTGCCAGCATTATCCCTAGGAAGCTGGTCTGGGTAATTAGTGCTGTCGCTATCTTCATTTACATTTTCTACTACTGGTTCAGCTTCACCTCTAATTTCAGTTTGGAGGCATGTTAACTTAGTAGCCTCAGGTATTGGGTTTTCAGAATCCACAGAGACTGTTGATAAATTGTCTGAAAACTGCTTAATTTCTGGTGGTATAATATTGGGTGAAGCTGTAGTGGGTGAAGCTTTATCCTTGTTGATTAAAGGATCTAATCTGGCTTGATATTTATTCTCAAAAAGATCCAGATCATCCATAACATTATCTACTTTATTTGATGTACTGGCTAATTGTTCTGATTCAATTATCCTGTGTAAATGTTCCAACCTGGCTTGAGTTTCTTCTTCATATTGTGCTAGGCCAGACAGGAATGGTTCCACATCTTCAACTACTATGTCGTCGTCGTCGTGGACTTGATTTTGGTAAGATTTCCTATTTGCTTTCAATATATGCAATTGGGTTTGAATCTGTAACAGTGATATTTTCAACCGACGATAATTAATTACAGGCTCATATAACAACTGTTCATATTGGTTGAGATCCCTTGTTAGTTGGCGTTTGCTTGCTACTAAAGCACGCTTTGCTTTCTGTGGATTAGTCATGGTGACTTGTTAATTGGGCACCACTGGCTCATAAATTGTGAGCAAGTACTGATGGTAGCCTAGGGTAAAATTCTGCACTCACTAGGCGATAATCCTACCTCTACTAGAGGTTAGCACTTAACATTAATACACATTATATATATACAATCATACACACTAATGATTTGAGTGATAAACCAGTGTCATTGGAAGTACCTTTAGGTTAGCTCTTCAGTATCACCCTAGGATGTTATTGACACTAATTAATCACTCAAAGGTGTAATGATCATAAGTAAATTATAATATATACACAACTCAACTCGAGCTGGTAACAATTACTCCCAAAATAGGGTCTTCACCATTCATTAATGGTGTTAGGTTGTTCAATATAGTTCAACTAGACTATGGTAATAATGGGACTAGGATGAACAATAAATAGTTCAACTAGTCAATGGTAATATCTTACCCTGTTGTGGGTTGGCAATTGGTAAACATTGTATTGAGAAACACTAGTGCAATATATATTAAATAATTCTCTATTTTGGAGAAATAATATACAGAATTATTGATGATAGCCTCTTAATTGCCTCTATGAAACTTCTAATATTATCAAGAAGTATTAAATATTATTAGTGACCTCGCGAAATTAACACCACAAAATCCGTGAATAATCCTGCGAGGACACAGCCACCAATTTGGTTGGCTTCAAAATAAACGCTGTCACTTCACAGAAATAACATGCCACCTAATTGGTGGGTGACCATGAAACCGCTGAATAAGGCTGAATTGGGCTGAGGGGTTCCTGAGCTCGCTCGAGGGAGGCTACACTGCTGGTCTTTGACTGGCTTTGTCTTGTTATTGTATAAATCACACTGCACTAGTACCAGTGTATTTAATGAATCCACTGGTTAACTGGTTCATCCGGTACAAAGATGACCAAATAATCTGTCATCCGGCTCGATGATGACCATATAATCTCGGTTCAAAGGACCAAATAATCCGGTTTCGAAGGACCAAATAATGTGGGAACCGACCTGTGAGATTTATATTTAATTTATATGAATTTATATTTATGTTAATTTATATATTTCGATAGCAATTTGTATGATGTTAAGTGGACTGTATTTCTGCAATAATCTCACAAATCGATCCTTACACATTAGGGGGGGGTTATATTAAATTTATATATATGCAGCCAATCAAACTAAAGTATTAACTACATATATTGGTATACATTGAGGAGGTTTCTTATCTTATTGTACAGCAGGCTTAGTCCACCAGGTATAACTAGGATGTAGACACCAAATTATCCTTGTTTGAGGCTAGCTTCCATCACCCAGTAACTGATGTATCATCTTGTTTCCTCTTCTTGTTCCTGTCAAAGGGCGCTAGCTGTAAACCCAGAATCTTAATATATGACAGCTATATCAGAGAAAACACTGTATAATAGATAAGATAAGGACCAAGGCTTAATTACCTTTATTGAGTCGATTATTTGTGTTCTCACCGGTTCGCCCAATATCTACCTAACATTAATGGCCAAAAATGATCAGATAAACGGGTTTCGGAAAGACACTTCCCTTGTGGTTGTTGACAGCGTGTTGATGATGGTAGAACACTTTGATCTCCATAACACTTCGTCCAAGAGAAATTATAGGAGCTGAATTTGCTCCACGACTCTGGTCTAACAACAATGGCTGACCACTTCCTCACCACTGATGCTACTGGCTTACTTTGTCTAGATGTCAGTAAGTGATAGAAGGGTCACATTTACTCTATTTTGATACTGATAATTAAGTTAATTAAAATAAGATGTTTTTATGATATAAAATATATCATAAAATATATCAGGTACCTATTTTACTGCTAGGTAACAGGGGCATAGGGTGAAAGAAACTCTGCCCAATGTTTCTCGCCGGCGCCTGGGATCGAACCCAGGACCACAGGATCACAAGTCCTGCGTGCTGTCCGCTCGGCCGACCGGCTCCCCCAAAGTCATTGCCTTCAATGAATATTGATTGATTATTTTTACTGTCTAGACATATGATTGAGATAACATGTGATTATAATCTAATTAGATATAAGATTTATAGATTATATGAAGTATTTGCTAATACTAATGATTCTTATTAAGGATTTGATTTAGTTCTTACCGGAAATCGATTGAATGTTTCAAATGTTTTTTAATTAAGATTAAAAATTATATATTATAGGGGACATTGTCATGTAGGATCCAGGTGTAGGATATAATGAATCTTAAGTGATTCTGAACTGATTTTGATATGATATAGAAATAATACATTTCTTAGATAATAATTTAGACACAATGGGTAAATTTTCCACACCACCCACGTCCACCCCACACACAATACCCACGTCCCCCCCACACACCACCCACCTCCCCCTCACACACCACCCACGTCCCCCCCCCCACACACCACCCACGTCCCCCCACACACCACCCACGTCCCCCCCACACACAACACCCACATCCCCCCACACACCACCCACGTCCCCCCCACACACCACCCACGTTTCCCCCCACACAACACCCACGTTTCCCCCCCCCCCACACACACCACCCACCTCCCCCTCACACACCACCCACCTCCCCCCCCCACACACCACCCACATCCCCCCACACATCACCCACGTCTCCCCCACACACCACCCACATCCCCCCCCACACACCACCCACGTCTCCCCACACACCACCCATGTTCCCCCAACACACCACCCACATCCCCCCCACACCACCCATGTCCCCCCACACACCACCCATGTCCCCCCCCCACACACCACCCACATCCCCCCCACACACCATCCACGTCCCCCCCACACACCACCCACGTCCCCCCCACACCACCCACGTCCCCCCCACACACCACCCACGTCCCCCCCCACACACCACCCACGTCCCCCCACACACCACCCACGTCCCCCCACACACCACCAACGTCCCCCCACACACCACCCACGTCCCCCCACACACCACCCACATCCCCCCCACACACCACCCACGTCCCCCCACACACCACCCATGTCCCCCCCCACACACCACCCACGTCCCCCCCACACACCACCCACATCCCCCCCCACATAGCACTAATTGTCCCCCTCGTGTGTGACACAGATAATAGACTACGAGGGGCGTGCGGGCGTGACCATAGAGACAGAGACGGGTCGTGACACAGTGAGTCACCTGCTGGTGAAGGAGGCGGGACCCAGCGACTCCGGCAAGTACACCTGCCGTCCCTCCAACGGTCACGAGGCCTCTGTTGTCCTAAACGTCCTCAACGGTGAGTCTTCTCCCTGTTGTTAGGCTACTCCTTCCGTCCCTCCAACGGTCACGAGGCCTCTGTTGTCCTAAACGTCCTCAACGGTGAGTCTTCTCCCTGTTGTTAGGCTACTCCTTCCGTCCCTCCAACGGTCACGAGGCCTCTGTTGTCCTAAACGTCCTCAACGGTGAGTCTTCTCCCTGTTGTTAGGCTACTCCTTCCGTCCCTCCAACGGTCACGAGGCCTCTGTTGTCCTAAACGTCCTCAACGGTGAGTCTTCTCCCTGTTGTTAGGCTACTCCTTCCGTCCCTCCAACGGTCACGAGGCCTCTGTTGTCCTAAACGTCCTCAACGGTGAGTCTACTCCCTGTTGTTTGGCTCCAACGGTGAGGGTGGTGTTCTGTTCCACCCACCAGTCAGTCTGTTCCACCCACCAGTCAGTCTGTTCCACCCACCAGTCAGTCTGTTCCACCCACCAGTCAGTCTGTTCCACCCACCAGTCAGTCTGTTCCACCCACCAGTCAGTCTGTTCCACCCACCAGTCAGTCTGTTCCACCCACCAGTCAGTCTGTTCCACCCACCAGTCAGTCTGTTCCACCCACCAGTCAGTCTGTTCCACCCACCAGTCAGTCTGTTCCACCCACCAGTCAGTCTGTTCCACACACCAGTCAGTCTGTTCCACACACCAGTCAGTCTGTTCCACCCACCAGTCAGTCTGTTCCACCCACCAGTCAGTCTGTTCCACCCACCAGTCAGTCTGTTCCACCCACCAGTCAGTCTGTTCCACCCACCAGTCAGTCTGTTCCACTCACCAGTCAGTCTGTTCCACCCAACAGTCAGTCTGTTCCACCCACCAGTCAGTCTGTTCCACTCACCAGTCAGTCTGTTCCACCCAACAGTCAGTCTGTTCCACCCACCAGTCAGTCTGTTCCACCCACCAGTCAGTCTGTTCCACCCACCAGTCAGTCTGTTCCACCCACCAGTCAGTTTGTTCCATCCCACCAGTCAGTCTGTTCCACCCACCAGTCAGTCTGTTCCACCCACCAGTCAGTCTGTTCCCCCAACAGTCAGTCTGTTCCACCCAACAGTCAGTCTGTTCCACCCACCAGTCAGTCTGTTCCACTCACCAGTCAGTCTGTTCCACCCAACAGTCAGTCTGTTCCACTCACCAGTCAGTCTGTTCCACCCACCAGTCAGTCTGTTCCACCCAACAGTCAGTCTGTTCCACCCAACAGTCAGTCTGTTCCACCCAACAGTCAGTCTGTTCCACCCAACAGTCAGTCTGTTCCACTCACCAGTCAGTCTGTTCCACCCACCAGTCAGTCTGTTCCACTCACCAGTCAGTCTGTTCCACCCAACAGTCAGTCTGTTCCACCCACCAGTCAGTCTGTTCCCCCCAACAGTCAGTCTGTTCCACCCAACAGTCAGTCTGTTCCACCCAACAGTCAGTCTGTTCCACTCACCAGTCAGTCTGTTCCACCCACCAGTCAGTCTGTTCCACCCACCAGTCAGTCTGTTCCACCCACCAGTCAGTCTGTTCCACCCACCAGTCAGTCTGTTCCACCCACCAGTCAGTCTGTTCCACTCACCAGTCAGTCTGTTCCACCCACCAGTCAGTCTGTTCCACCCACCAGTCAGTCTGTTCCCCCCAACAGTCAGTCTGTTCCACCCAACAGTCAGTCTGTTCCACCCACCAGTCAGTCTGTTCCACTCACCAGTCAGTCTGTTCCACCCAACAGTCAGTCTGTTCCACTCACCAGTCAGTCTGTTCCACCCACCAGTCAGTCTGTTCCACCCAACAGTCAGTCTGTTCCACCCAACAGTCAGTCTGTTCCACCCAACAGTCAGTCTGTTCCACCCAACAGTCAGTCTGTTCCACTCACCAGTCAGTCTGATCCACCCACCAGTCAGTCTGTTCCACTCACCAGTCAGTCTGTTCCACCCAACAGTCAGTCTGTTCCACCCACCAGTCAGTCTGTTCCCCCCAACAGTCAGTCTGTTCCACTCACCAGTCAGTCTGTTCCACCCAACAGTCAGTCTGTTCCACTCACCAGTCAGTCTGTTCCACCCACCAGTCAGTCTGTTCCACCCAACAGTCAGTCTGTTCCACCCAACAGTCAGTCTGTTCCACCCAACAGTCAGTCTGTTCCACCCAACAGTCAGTCTGTTCCACTCACCAGTCAGTCTGTTCCACCCACCAGTCAGTCTGTTCCACACATCAATCAGTCTGTTCCACACATCAATCAGTCTGTTCCTCTCACCAGTCAGTCTGTTCCACCCACCAGTCAGTCTGTTCCACACATCAATCAGTCTGTTCCACACATCAATCAGTCTGTTCCTCTCACCAGTCAGTCTGTTCCACCCACCAGTCAGTCTGTTCCACTCACCAGTCAGTCTGTTCCACCCACCAGTCAGTCTGTTCCACACATCAATCAGTCTGTTCCACACATCAATCAGTCTGTTCCTCTCACCAGTCAGTCTGTTCCACACATCAATCAGTCTGTTCCACTCACCAGTCAGTCTGTTCCACCCACCAGTCAGTCTGTTCCACACATCAATCAGTCTGTTCCACTCACCAGTCAGTCTGTTCCACTCACCAGTCAGTCTGTTCCACTCACCAGTGATGATCCCAGAAAGGGTGATCCCAGGAGATTAGGGCAGAGTTGTGGAAGCGACGATCGTCAGCTCCTCCTTGAATTTAAAGTATCACTTTGGATAAAAGTATATATTAAAGTAACTGTAATTAATAACCTGTTTTGTCAAATACTTAGATGAACTTAACGTCATTTAGGAATGAAGAATCAAATCTTCTCTTTAGCTCAAGATCAGTTGACTCTGGTAGAATTGGCAACTCCGGCTGGGCCAGGTCGCCAGAGAGGCACTTCTCACCCCCACCTCCATCCCCCCTCTATCCAAGACTCCACCTTTTGTTAATTTAATTCTGCTGAGAAATTCAAGTTATCATTCAGTATTTGTGCCTTATAACTTACCTGCTCAAGTATCTAGAGATTCTTCAATTTTTGGAATGATGATTAAGTTACCTTCAGTGACGTCATGTAGAGTAGAGGGTACTACTTCGCCGGGCGACGTACCTGACCTACTAGGGGTCAAGGTTAGGGCCCCAGACGTACCTGACCTACTAGGGGTCAAGGTTAAGGCCCCAGACGTACCTGACCTACTAGGGGTCAAGGTTAGGGCCCCAGACGTACCTGACCTAGTAGGGGTCAAGGTTAGGGCCCCAGACGTACCTGACCTACTAGGGGACAAGGTAAGGGCCCCAGACGTACCTGACCTACTAGGGGACAAGGTAAGGGCCCCAGACGTACCTGACCTACTAGGGGACAAGGTAAGGGCCCCAGACGTACCTGACCTACTATGGGTAAAGGTTAGGGCCCCAGACGTACCTGACCTACTATGGGTAAAGGTTAGGGCCCCAGACGTACCTGACCTACTATGGGTAAAGGTTAGGGCCCCAGACGTACCACAGGTTTCAATATTGTTTAATTCACAAAGCACAAATTCAGATCTCAAGCAAATATTGTAATTGGAAATAGCGTTTCCCCAGGATGTTCAATAACAATTCAACCATCTTGGGTGACCAGGACATAGGGATTAGTCTGTTCAGTTTAAACCCTGCTTAGAAATTTGATAACCAGGCGGAGTAAAACTAGCCTAGGACAGCTCCCTCAGCTTGAGAGGAGTAGGCTAGGGTGTAGTGATGTTGACGAGCAGTAATGGACAGACCATTATCAGTAATCTATCAGTAATGGGTGGACCATTATCTAATGGTCCGTATCACATACGGCTTGATAATGGTCCAGGAAGGACCAAAACGTCGTCGTGTGTCTATCTTGTGATGTGTGGTTTGGTCACTCTCTTCTCTTCTTAGTGCTCTCTGTGCCTGGTCATGGCTGCCCGTGTATTAGTGGGCTGCGGCCGGTCTTTACTGAAAACATCAGTTGTTTACGTGGTATGCTCACAGCAGGGTGCATGCTGGGCAACCAATTGAAACTCATTTGCAGGAAGCAACGACATCACCTTCTTACGTTATCGCATACATCGAATACGTTACTCTATTTTGCAACATACTGGCTTGCTTATGGCTCGAATTTATTTAATTTTTCCCAGATGCGGAATTTATGCGTCGAAACCAGCGTGACGTCATTACGAAAGCACTGCAATCGGCATTGTCTTCATTATTTCATGAGTTCCTACCTTTTTACCTGTTCTCGTTTGTTCATATTTTGAACAACGTAACTGTTCTGAACCCGACGTGCTCTAATTTTCATTCTTAATTGTGAGATTGATGAATCGCCAGGAATCTCTGTTATTCATATGGTCTTAGAAAATTAACTTTAAGGACTACTTCTGGTCTTACCGCCTACAGGCGAGTCCTGACCCGCCGTCAACTAACTCTGGTCTTCCTACCCCTACAAGCGAGTCCTGAGCCACCGTCAACTAACTCTGGTCTTCCTACCCCTACAGGCGAGTCCTGACCCCACCGTCAACTAACTCAGGTCTTCCTACCCCTACAGGCGAGTCCTGACCCCACCGTCAACTAACTCTGGTCTTCCTACCCCTACAAGCGAGTCCTGAGCCACCGTCAACTAACTCTGGTCTTCCTACCCCTACAGGCGAGTCCTGACCCCACCGTCAACTAACTCAGGTCTTCCTACCCCTACAGGCGAGTCCTGACCCCACCATCAACTAACTCAGGTCTTCCTACCCCTACAGGCGAGTCCTGACCCGCCGTCAACTAACTCAGGTCTTCCTACCCCTACAGGCGAGTACCACGCTGCTATGCAGACAAATAGAGGCGTCGGGTGGACGATCTGGGAGGCCCTGTTCCTGAAGCTGGCGTTACTCCATGCGCTCTTCCTCCTCCGTTCGTAACACACGCGTGTCCCGTTCTCCAGACACTCTCTCAAGCCTACTCCTCCACTCCACGTCTTCGATTATAGCTGCACATTGTTGTCCTCAAACACCTCGTCGTTGTCCTCATACACCACGTCGTTGTCCTCATACACCACGTCGCTGTCCTAAAACACCACGTCGTTGTCCTCAAATTAAATCCTAAAATCTCCTAATCAGGGAAATCTGTACCAAACTTTGATCATGCTAACTTACCAAGAGAACATCAACAACTCCAGAATCAACCAATTAAGTGAGAGAGTTCCCAGAGCCAAGACAGCCAATCCTGAGGAAAGTTGAGAGGGAGAAGCATCTCAGAGAGTCACTTTTGGTCTCCTGCTTGACCTGACCTCTGACCTCTGGCAGGGAGGAGAGGCGTTGTTGACACTGCTCCCGAGACCTAAGGACTCTGGCCTAATTATCGCTCCACGATTGATTGATGATTGATTGATAAAGATTAAGCCACCCAAGAGGTGGCACGGGCATGAATAGCCCGTAAGTGGTAAATATATATATCGCTCCACAAGTTAGCTGAGGATATATGGCAAAATCTCTGGCCATAGTTCTCAAGGTGGCATAGCTGACCATGACTCTTAGTTGCCACAGTGGAAGTAAGCTATTGGAAGTGCGAGTTATCTTCAGTATGTCCTGAGTATATTCTGAGTATATTCATGTCATTCCAAGTATGGCTTACAGCTTGCAAGGCTTGCATCACATGTGGACTCCAGACACGATATGTGGATGACACCCAGCATGAGGTGTTGACAACATAAACATGTACAGAAATATGGGTGTTGATGTATGTAAATATGATGAAACATTTACCCATTTAAAGGACATTGCAATACTCGATAATGGTGCCGAATTTGTGGTGATTTTTAACTTGTACATTTAAGATAAAAAACAGGTTAAGTGCTCCTCAAATGAAGCATGTGAGAAAATATTTATTGCGCCTGTGTTAAAATAAAAATAATGACAATGGTGTTTGCTACATAATCATAGCTGTGTAGTGCGAGTTCTCGAAATAAATAACATTAGACATTTTTATACCAATTTTACCTTCTATAGTATCTCTTCTGGAATTTTGTTGAACAATTAAAATGTTTCAAATGGTTAACTACATAATTAATAGTCATTTGCATCTGTACTTGAGAAACCACACAATAAACTCTACCCAATAAACGAGATATTTCTTACATTAAAGAAGAGTATTTCATCGGTAACAAGTGAGTATCTTTACTATTCAAGCTTTATGGAGATAACAAAAATGTAATAATAAAACCTCAATAGGTTTTTGCATCAAACATCAAACATGCATCAAACTGGGCAATATGAGGCAATACACCTGAAGGCCTCTCTGCAGGTCACATATCAAAGATTTTACAGCAATATTACTTCATATATTCAGGTCATATCTGCAAAGAAGTAAAAAGAACATAGAATATTTTTATATTTTAAAATGTTAAATAATATTCATGCAGGTATTGTATTGCTTATTGAATAAAGATTTACCACAAAATAGCCTAACATAATCCTACCCCTCAGCCAATAATGTTACTCAAGCTCTGCCATTGGCCTAACATAATCCTACCTCTCAGCCAATAATGATACTCAAGCTCTGCCATTGGCCTAACATAATCCTACCTCTCAGCCAATTATGTTACTGCAAGCTCTGCCATTGGCCTAACATAATCCTACCTCTCAGCCAATTATGTTACTGCAAGCTCTGCCATTGGCCTAACATAATCCTACCTCTCAGCCAATTATGTTACTGCAAGCTCTGCCATTGGCCTAACATAATCCTACCTCTCAGCCAATTATGTTACTGCAAGCTCTGCCATTGGCCTAACATAATCCTACCTCTCAGCCAATTATGTTACTGCAAGCTCTGCCATTGGCCTAACATAATCCTACCTCTCAGCCAATACTGTTACTCAAGCTCTGCCATTGGCCTAACATAATCCTACCTCTCAGCCAATTATGTTACTGCAAGCTCTGCCATTGGACATTTATTTTACTACAAACGTTAATTTCTGTGAAGATTAACTTTGAAATATGTTATCAATATTCGCCCTGAATTTTTAATAGCTATTGTTAATTCGTTGTACGGATCATTTAATAAGATAATTGTTCCATCCATAAAGCCTGGATTGTTAGGTGATGGTTTGTCCAACAACTCGATATTGAGCTCCTCGAGTTGCGGTGCAAAGGCTGTGATATGAACCTGATAGTGATTGCTACGTCTCTACGTCCCTGTCTGTCTATATACTCACCTAATTGTGATGCGGGGGTTGAGCTCTGGCTCTTTAGTTCAGCCTCTCAACTGTCAATCAACTGGTGTACAGGTGCAGACGAGGAGTCACAATAACCTGGCTGAAATATGTTGTAATTGTCACAATCGATTTGAGAATGGTCCTGGACGGATCGAAACGTCGTTGTCCCTTCACTTTCTAGTGTGTGGTTTGGTCAACTGATGTACAGATTCCTGAGCCTACTGGGCTCTATTATATCTGCATTTGAAACTGTGTATGGAGTCAGCCTCCACCACTTCACTGCCTAATGCATTCCATCTGTTAACTACTCTGACACTGAAAAAGTTCTTTCACGTGTGAAAGAACTTTCACATGTGAAACATGGACACACATGTGTCCATGTGTCTGTGTGACGCTTGAGGCAGACGTTACCTCAACAGAAAAAATCCATTACGTAGAATTATCATACGTAGAAAAATAGAAACGATTGAACTAAAGCTACAAGAATTATGTAGAATCTAGAAGAGGCAGAGAGAGCAAAACGCTACCAGAAAGAAATCCGAAATACATTTTCTCCTACACAAAATCTAGAACAAAAACTACATTCAGTATTTAGCCCCTACGAAAGGGAGATTGAATTTTCACAGATGACATCAAAGAAATGAGCGAAATACCGAGGCAGCAGAATAGTACCTGGACGTACCTGTGTACAAAATAATTATCCTCTCCTTACGAATAATCTCAGCTATCAGTGAAGGATGGTTTAGACAGTGATGGAACAGTTCTGTGCAACACCTCTCTATGTTGCAACGTCCTTATTTGGAAATTCCAAATACAGCTACCAGTATCTCTATCATAGCAGTAACAATACTACAGCTACCAGTATCTCTATCATAGCAGTTACAATACTACAGCTACCAGTACCTCTATCATAGCAGTTACAATACTACAGCTACCAGTATCTCTATCATAGCAGTTACAATACTACAGCTACCAGTATCTCTATCATAGCAGTAACAATACTACAGCTACCAGTATCTCTATCATAGCAGTTACAATACTACAGCTACCAGTACCTCTAGCATAGCAGTCACAATACTACAGCTACCAGTACCTCTATCATAGCAGTTACAATACACATAAGAATGAGTGATATTGGGACGTATCCGAGAGTGATGAGTTTTTTATTTAAAGCATCAACAGTGTTCGAGTTCACATGTATGTGTTCCTAAATCTATATCATTAGTCACTCTGCGGACAGTACTGCTGAAACAGTTTACAGGTGATTCCTGATAAAGATATTAATGAGCCCAAAATAGAGCAGTTTATTGTATCTCAGATCTGTATTCATCTTAAAAATCTCTAAGAGAGTGGGACAAAATCTCTAAGGGGATGGGACAAAATCTCTAAGGAGTGGGACAACATCTCTAAGGGATGGGACAAAATCTCTAAGGGGTGGGACAAAATCTCTAAGGGATGGGACAAAATCTCTAAGGGATGGGACAAAATCTCTAATGGATGAGACAAAATCTCTAAGGAGTGGGACAAAATCACTAAGGGATGGGACAAAATCTCTAAGGGATGGGACAAAATCTCTAAGGGATGGGACAAAATCTCTAAGGGGTGGGACAAAATCTCTAAGGAGATGGGACAAAATCTCTAAGGGGTGGGACAAAATCTCTAAGGGGTGGGACAAAATCTCTAAGGAGTGGGACAACATCTCTAAGGGGTGGGACAAAATCTCTAAGGGATGGGACAAAATCTCTAAGGGGTGGGACAAAATCTCTAAGGGGTGGGACAAAATCTCTAAGGGATGGGACAAAATCTCTAAGGGGTGGGACAAAATCTCTAAGGGGTGGGACAAAATCTCTAAGGGATGGGACAAAATCTCTAAGGGGTGGGACAAAATCTCTAAGGGGTGGGACAAAATCTCTAAGGGATGGGACAAAATCTCTAAGGGGTGGGACAAAATCTCTAAGGAGTGGGACAACATCTCTAAGGGGTGGGACAAAATCTCTAAGGGATGGGACAAAATCTCTAAGGGGTGGGACAAAATCTCTAAGGGATGGGACAAAATCTCTAAGGGGTGGGACAAAATCTCTAAGGGGGTGGGACAAAATCTCTAAGGGATGGGACAAAATCTCTAAGGGGGTGGGACAAAATCTCTAAGGGATGGGACAAAATCTCTAAGGGGGTGGGACAAAATCTCTAAGGAGATGGGACAAAATCTCTAAGGGGTGGGACAAAATCTCTAAGGGGGTGGGACAAAATCTCTAAGGGATGGGACAAAATCTCTAAGGGGGTGGGACAAAATCTCTAAGGGATGGGACAAAATCTCTAAGGGGGTGGGACAAAATCTCTAAGGGATGGGACAAAATCTCTAAGGGGTGGGACAAAATCTCTAAGGGGTGGGACAAAATCTCAAAGGGATGGGACAAAGACTCTAAGGGGGTGGGACAAAATCTCTAAGGGATGGGACAAAATCTCTAAGGGGGTGGGACAAAATCTCTAAGGAGATGGGACAAAATCTCTAAGGGAGTGGAACAAAATTCACTCCTAAAAACATTTTATAGAGGCGTGTGCCCGATGAATACTTGAGAGAGTCAGTAAGGAGACCAAGACGACACGGGTGGAAGCCAGCCACACAAATGAGCCGGAAGGAAGGAAGGAATTTATCAAGGGAAAATGCTATGCCATTACGACTATATAGTACTTGGAATGGAGTCAGGATAAGGATTTGGGATGGGACGGGGAGGGAAGGAATGGTGCCCAACCACTTGTGGACGGTCGAGGATTGAACGCCGACCTGCATGAAGCGAGACCGTCGCTCTACCGTCCAGCCCAAGTGGGAGGGTCAAATGAGCCGGAGGAATATAGGGAAATACTCATACCCTGCACCGGAAGTCAACCAGTGGAATGCACTGAGAGAAGAAGTTGAGGAAGCCACCTCCATCCACAACTTCAACGCAACAGTCGACCAAGTATTTGAACCTCAGAATAGTTAAACTGAACGGAACAGTACACAAACGCCAGTAAACGGGGCATCAAGAGCTAGACCTCACTTCCCTGCACACACACTAGTAGGTAAGTGCTCATAGGTAAGTTGAGGGTAAACATTATTTAAGAAAATTTCAGTTAGAAACTTTATTTCATGATCATAACTAAACCAAATAGAGCAAAGAGAATAAGCTCTATTAACCAGGGTTCTGATTGATTTTTTTATATTAATAAAAAAAACAAAAGAATGAGAATTAACACACAGGCGATGAGCCACAATAACGTGGCTAAAGTATGTTGACCAGACCACACACTGGAAAGGTGAAGGGGCGACGACGTTCCGGTCCGTCCTGGACCATTCTCAAGTCGATTGTGAATGAGACAATCGACTTGAGAATCGAGAATTAACACCTTACGCAAATAAGGTTTGTTCTCAATGAACAGAAGTATTAAAACCATTTTCGTTAGCTGGTTAACGATAATAGTTTTATTAGTTTTTCATTGCAATGTTTGAACTTGAATAGTTTAGCGTTGTTTGAAATCTTTCTAATAATTTCTACCATCTTGTGTTACTTTATATGACTTGCCATATTAGCCCTATAGGGAAAGCATCGTTTTCCCTTTTCTTTGTCAATAACTTTAAGTTTAACCCACCAAACACACACCGAAACTACGACGTTGGTACAACGTTCGAACAAGTTTTAACACCTCCTAACCAGTTATAACACCCAATATAGCAAGTTGTAACAACGTTCTAATACGTCATAAACACGTTAAGCTAAGATGGAACAACTTTATTACAAGTTGTAACAAGCGGAAAATAGAGACAGTTACGGTTTGTGTTTCCAGGGTTAACACTGTTGTCACTGCTTAAATTGAAAGGTGTACACCGCTTCTTATTGAAGATACAATGAGAGTTGACTTTTACTGAGAACTGTGTTGAGGACATAAGTATACTTGCTGCTGGGAGGCCTTCATCCCAGTACTAAACCAAGCCAAGTAGTTGTTATGTATATTACTTTGGCCATGAGTTAAGCTTTGGCCTTTGTCTCCTATATTTGGCTGTCAATTAGTAATATATTTTGTCTTCATAAATTATTAACTGTTTTTCTAACTTGAACATCTATCAATGTATGTTTCTTGATTGTTATGCTTTTTATCTTTAACTTCGATTTCCAGCAATGTTTTCCTTAATTGATTTTGTGTGAAGCCTCCTGTAACCACGGATGAAGTGTGCATTACTTTCCTGTATCGCCAAACTAAGGCGTTTAAAGAGGAAAC